GGCATGTAAGGGTGTGTGCGTCGATGTGTCTGTTTGTGTGGATGTCCGATCTTTGCGCACTTTCTGTGGCTTGGCGGCAGCCTCGGCTATCTCCCCAGACGACGTCGCCTCAGCGCTCTTGAATAATCAGACACACACATACACACACACACACACACACACATACACACATTGGTGGACATCCATGCAGGCGTCTGTGCTGGCGAGTGGTGTGCGTACCTTGCTGGTGGTCCTGGTAGTCTTTGTAGGAGCCTCGAACAGCTTCTTCGAAGAAAGGCTCCAGCACCTTCTTGGACATGCGGTTCCACAGTCCCTGTGGACAGTTACATGTGTGTACACGTCTGCTGGTTTCGAGTGTGCCACTTCTGCATACCTTGTCTCGCGGCGCGGTGTAGTTCGTGTCGTCCTTGATGCCCGGCAGCGTGGGAAACGTCTGTCAGACACACACAGCCGGGCTCGGCGGGCTCGGGCTTGGCAGGCTCGGGCCTGGCGGGCTCGGGCTTGAGGGTCAGCACGGGAGCCGTCACAGAAGGAGCCTTGATTATCCAGAACGGATTCTGCACACACAGACATCCATGTCGGGCATGTAAGGGTGTGCGTCGGTGCGTGCGCGTATCTTGTGTGGGTGTCTGGTTTTTGCGTACTTTGTTCGGCTTGGCAGCGGCGAGTTTGGCGTGGAAGTCCAGCCAGTCGAGGTAGCCGTGCCCACACTCACCACACCAAAAACATTTCTGGAACTGAAAACACATTGATATGCGCACACAGAGATATGCAGACAATGTGGTGGCTGGATGGATGCGTGTGTGTGTGTGTGCTGCCTGCGCACCTTGCTGCGCCCCTTGAAGAAGGTGAAGCTGACCGCCGCGGGGTGGCGGTTGTTGGGACACGCCTGCACACACACGCACAGACGTGCACACGTCGATGCATCACAGCAGCGAATCGTCAGACTTCCGTGTGCGTGTGCTTTACCTTGGCCTCGACGCTCTGGAATCATCAGACACACACACATACACACATACACACACATGGCCATGGACAGCCATGGAGGCATCTGTGTACGCGAGTGTCGCTTGGCGTACCTTGTCGGTGGTCCTGGTGCTCGACTTCGGCTTGGGCGGTTCCATGACGGCCTTCTACGGCTTGTTTCATCTCCCCTGTGCACAATCGCTTGTGTGTACACGTCTGTTGGTTTCGAGTGTGTCACCTCTGCATACCTTGTCCTTCGGCATCGTGTTGATGTCCTTCGTGTAGTTGGTGCCGGGCAGGAGCGGGAATTTCTGTCAGACACACACAGCCACAAAGTCATCAGACATCCATTCGTGTGAAGCGTGTGTGTGTCGTGCTCACCTTCTTGTCCTTCGTGAACTGGAAACCGCGTGATCAGAGCACACAGACACACACACCCACGCACACATACAGGAATGCAGGCGTGTGCGCATGAATGCAAGTGTGCGGCACTCTGCGCACCTCCACTTCAGTGCTAGTGCTGGTGCTGGTGCAGCCGGTAGGGGACAGCGGCTCCTGGACGGCCTGCGAAAGATCAAGACAGCAGGAACGGCTCCCGACATGCCTCCTCCTTCCATCATCTTTTCTCATCACCCTCCCTCGCTTCACATACCTTCATGACCTGCCGCCACTGATACTGGGGAGGTGGCGGCTGCTGGCGACCACGACCACGAGCACGACCACCCATCGCGGACGGAGGGATGGATGGACGGACGCACGAGAGAGAGAGAGGGCAGGGCTCGCTCGGTGGCTGGCTGTGGGCAGGGATAAGGCAGGCAGGGATGCAGCTATATAGTATAGTATTTTTTGACAGCTCACCTTCGATGTGCAAACGGCCAGCAAGGCAGTCCGGTCCAAGTCGTCGTCATCGGCCAATCAAAATATAAAATGTAGCCAGCGATCTGCACACCACCCAGCCACAGAGAGAAGTACTCCTGTAAGTATGTATGTGTATGTTTTTGCCATCCACCAAAGCCCCAAAGCGACTTACAGGGGCTCCCCCAGCCCCCAAAGCGGGCAGGGGGCCGGGGGTGGCGGAGATGGGGAGGGACCGGGAGGTGCCAGCACACACTGCCATGATGGCCCAGCCGCTCGCAGTTGAAGCACCGACCCCTCCAGAAGTCCTCGAGCTCCTCCCTGTATGTCAGGCGGCAGCCTGCACAGGCAAACAGAAACCAGAAATGTTCTAATGGTTCTCTCTTTATCTGTCTCGCTGACCGATGGCTGCCGCCGACTGTCACGGGCACTTATTGAACTTGTAGGGCGGCTGGCGACAGTGGTGATCCTGCACAACACAAGGAATGACAAAGGAGATGTCCTGCACACTTTAGACTTACATCTTTGCTACCACCACACATACTTGATGGCGCAGGCGCTCGCACTTGACTGCCGGATTGAACACGGGGAACGCCTGTTCACACGGACCAAGCAGATCAGATTGTGCTTTGTAGATGTACCGCCGCCTCTCATTCTGTTCGCCTACCTCGCTGTTGGGTCCGTTGATGCTGGCGTTGTAGCCGGGACGCACCTGCATGACAGCAACACCCACAGACAAACGTAGAATGAATGGACGTCGATCTGCTCATGTGTGAATGAGTGGGTGGCGCGTACCAACACTTGAACTTTGTCCAGCAGGTTTTGATTGTCGTCCTTCATGGCCTTTAGCTCCTGCACACACACCACACGGCGTTCACATTGGCATGTGTTCATGTCGATGATCTTACCTGCTTCAACTCTGAATTAACGCGGCACAGCTTCAGGATCTCCTGAAGGACAGGGCAGCAGAGGGTGTTGGCAGCCATCAGCCCGCCTTCTCTCTCCCTCCTACCTGCTCGAGTGTCTACTCCTTCTTGGCCCACTCCTCCCGCTCGGTGCGCAGCTTGTCCTTGAGCAGACGGATCAACTCCTGAGAGTCGCAGCACACATGGGAACATTCGAATGAGTACCCAACAAGCCGTCAGGGGAGCCCATGATTCGCGCACCTCGATGGCGCTAGCGGTACTTGCGGTGCTGGACGTTGACGGTGCGTCGGAGCTTACGGCCTGAAAAAAGGCATGCCAACAGGAGCCACACACAGGCGTCCGCTCCAATGTGAATCAGCCTCCCTCCCTGCCTCCCGCCCATATCTTCCTCCCTCGCTTACCTTCTTGGCGGCCTTGTCGCGCATCTGTTTCTTCTTGCCGCCCGCCTTCCCTCCCATGATGGATGGCAGGGTGGATGGATAGATGGACGGCACGGGCGGAGGCGTAGAGGGAGAAGTGCCACGCAGCTCCCCTCTGGTAGGGTCGCTGTCGTCTGACACCCAAACCCCCACACACAAATGCATGATTGAAGCCGTCACTCCTCTCACGCTTACCTTGACTGCTGGCTTCGTGAGTAGCTGGTTGTTGTCTTGCTTGGCGGCCCTCAGCTCCTGCGCACACACACCAGACGGCATCCAGATTGGCATGTGTTCAGGTCGATGATCTTACCTTGTTGATCTCCGAGTTCTCCCGGCACACACGCAACAGCTCCTGAAAGACAGGGCAGCGGAGGTTGTTGGCAGCCATTGGCCCGCCTTCCCTCTCCCTCCTACCTGCTCGAACATGGCCTCCTTCTTGGCCCACACCTCCCGCTCGGTGCGCAGCTTCTCCCGTAGCAGACGAGCAATCTCCTGAGGATCGCAGAACAGATGGGACCACACAGATGGGTACCCACATCGCGTCAGGCAGCGTACCTTATCGCTGCCTCCATCTGGCAGCGTCATCAGGGCTGCGAGTGGAGGCCGTGGGCTGGTCAGTGGGTAGCGGGCCAGTAGATCGAGGAGGCGTCTCTCGGGGGCCGCCAAAGCGGCCAAAGATGCGGAGACAAACAGAGAAAAGAGAAAGACATGAGCAAATCTTGATTATCACCTCTTTTGTGTCTCCCTCACTTCCGTACCTGTGGGGCCGCCGGGGCAGACTGAATGGATGATTTAGTAGGTAGGCGCATGGGAGATGTCAGAGGGAGACGGCGATCCATCTGCACACGCAGACACGGGACACTTACACATGACTTGATCAGTGAAGAATATTTTGACAGCTCACCTTCGATGTGCAAACGGCCAGCAAGGCAGTGCGGCTGAAGGGGTCGTCATCAGTCGGTCAAATGTAAAATGTAAGCAGCGATTTCAGGCCTGCAGACAAACAGGCCGGTGGGCAAACAGACGAGTTCGTCGGTCTTGTGCACCTACTGTGTGGCCATGGCGGCATCGGGCTTGGGCACCTTCGGCACCCACACCTACACACACCGACACTCAGCGTGAAAGCACACGAGTGAATGAGTGGATGTGTGTGCCCATCTGCCTACCTTCTTTGGTGCCTTG